AAAAATGAACTTGTATGAATTAGGCCTTTGTGCATTCTTAATAGAAACTTTTACAAGTTTTCCATCAACATTCAGACATTTTATGTAACAGAAAAATGGACTGCCTTGATTTATGTTTCCTGCATTATCAGTCTTGTTTTATGAGATACAGAAAATCCCAACAAATCCCAACAAGCATGAGTTTAGTTTAATAAGCTGCTTACACAGTTATTTGCCAGTGACAGACTTAAACTGGTACTAGGACAACAAAAAGCAGGTATAAAATGGGAAAGTTGCATACCTTGTCAAATTACTCTAAAGTGCACTATTACTATGCATATGTTTGTCATGTACCCATGCGTACTCCTATTGAAGCACCGGTTCCTGTGTTTAATTTTGTCTAATGTCAGACTGCTAGAGTGAACTAATATTGTAGTAAAGCTTATCATCTTCTAACATACATTGTACCAACTTACTGAACCACAGCATGACACAAACAAGCATGTAAACAGTTTCAGTGAGGGCATTCACACTGACCAGAATGTTGACATTTTATGTGGTTCTTCCAGCTGCAGTGAATGCTTTTGTAAAAACTGCAGTTAAACACATTTACTTCATAATGTATAGAGCCTTTAATGGTAAAATGTATACATGTTTAGCAATAGTCTAAATTTTAGATAGCTGAAACACAGGAATGTCAACAATTTAAAAAATTATCTAACAATTTGCAAAGTATTTTTCTAGGGTTTCAAAGATAATCAACAAACTCGGCTTGGATTAGTTTTTTTACTACAAGGAAAGTTTCTGTAACGTGTAAAAAAACCAGCCTCCTCATGACATTTTTGCACCTGATGGACTTGGACAAATCTTGGCACGCACTCTGCCATGCATAATCATACTGTGCCATTAGTTTTCTTTTAAAGTAGTGATTTTTGGTGGAAAGCCTATACCTGAAGATAGAACCATTTTGAAAGAGTAAAAAAAAGAAAAATAAATATAGAAAGAAAATGAACCAAATCATGATTTTTATTTAGTGATAACATACAACCTTTTTTCCCTGCTTGAGTAATATAACAGTCAGTGGTATAACAACAATTGGAGAAAATTATTTAGAATTTCAGGAGCAGAGTCACACCTGAAATACGCCCTTTCTGGTTCTTTGGCTATATATGACCCTCCTGTACTACAAGCTGTTTATTCTCATTTTTGTTTGATATGTGGAGCACCTTCACATCCTGCTTTACCTTATATCATCCCAGTCCAAAATAGCTCACAGCTCATAAGCTGCACATCTGGTCACACCTTAGCTCCTTAGCTCCAGCCGCTCCTCCAAAAATTCAAACCCACACAATCTCTTGCGAGCATTCATTTGCCACCTGGCATAGATAGTAAGGGTAGACTCGTCATTCAACTAGGAGACTGCACAGTTTGCAATTATTTCAATGACTTCACAAGTTCTATGTCTGTGCCGCTACCTGGACTCCTGCTCATTCTACAGACACCGTCATTCCTGCCCAGCATGCCCACACAACCCCACTGACCCTCAACATCGTCTGGTTCCAGGTTTCTCTGGCCATGGGAAAACCCAGTGGCATTAATTTCCTCCTTGAGTGGTTTGAGCATTTTCTTGCTCCTCTTGTAAACAAATAGCTACCCCCCCCCCCCCTTTTTTTTTTAGGACACCTGAACTTTACCCTGTGCATAACTCCTCAAGGCCTCCCTTCATTTCTCACTTTCATCATTTCAATTTTTGACACAATCATTCTGGATAGCTTGTCCAAGCTGAAATTTGGTTCTGGCAATATCTGCTAGCCATCTCAATTGGCATCATTTTCTTATATGATTATCAGCTTTCCCACTTGACGACATTTAGCTCTACCCCTTCTCCTAGTTCTCTGGGTTATCATAGATGTCATCATGGGGTTGTCATGGAAGGTGGTTCTCCAGTAATTGTTCTTCCAAATTCAACCAGTTTACAAAACTGCTTATTGTCACCTTGATTATTTTACGAAATCTACACAGTAGTCATCAGTGCCTAACGCAAAATGAAGTAAACTACCCAGCCAGGTAATCCCGATTTCATATTCTATTTCAAGATAGACTCACCCCTAAGGATTTACTAGCCTTTGATCCATTACTTTCAACTTTAAGTTCTCTCATCATCGGGAATACTTCGGATCTCTTCTCCAGTTATTCTTTCTGCATTTCTGCCATTAGATCCACTTCAGTCAGTGAAATCACAAATCACCAGTTTGAGGTCATGAGGTCAATCTACCAATCATATATTTGCAACCATCTTTGACATTTGCAACACACATTTTCATCACTGCTTCCTGGAAATTCCTTCTTTGGGGATTTGCCTAGCCCAGGAGCTGCAGCCAGTCTCTTCTGGGGCCTTCCCCAAGCAGCAGCCTCAATTGATTTCCACTAGAAATGCTGTCATATCTAAATGAGGATGCAGTCCCAGCTAGTGAATTGGAGATAATTTATCTGCATTTTGAAGTGGGGACAAACACTCCCCTTCTAGTTCTCTGTATACGACTATATATGCCCTGCACTACAAGCTGTTTGTAGTGCATCATCATCATTCGTCTCTCATTATTACATTGGGAAATGTCTGGCTGGAAAGCCACCATTCTTCTCTGAAGCCTTCCCCAAACCTTAGCCTTAACTGTTGCTCTGCCATCTGCAATTATCTATTGGGAATGCTGTCAGACCTAAGTCAGGATCCATTTAGGTTAGTCAGGTCACAGCTAGTGAATTAAAGACACCACGTAGCAAAATTAGCTTCAATACAAGTTAAAGGATTAACTTATATGCGTTTCATAACACTTTAAGTAATGATGCCCATCCTTAGCAGACATAAGGGGTCCTTGCTCCTTAATCCTTCCAAGTGAGTCATACTATAGCCTAAATGACACTTTTCTATTCTCTAAGATAAAAAAAATTACAGTCAGTTTGAAATAGCAGATATCCATATTAAAAAAAGAGACTCCAGTGGATATCATGATCACTGTGAAAGGTTGTAAACATTTTGCATTCACTACAGTGTCTTTGGTGTAGCACAGATTTCCTTTTATATATCTTGTTCTTTGACATCTTTGTTCACAAATTCCTTTTCACTTTTGTCTTTTTCCTATTTGTTTTTTCTATTTGTTATTTCTATTTTCTATTTTTATTTCTACATGAACGCTGAGAGGCCGCAGAAAGTGTCAGTTTGCTTGTATCGGCACTGGAAGTTTTTCTTAAAGTTTGTCTGTGTCATCCTTTTCCATGTTAATGAGCTTTTCATCCTTTTGATTGTTATTACTTGATGTCTCATGGAGTCTTGTGTCTTTTCTTAGACTTTCCCGTACATACTTCCGAAATGCTCTCTGGATCACAACAACTGAAACAGCCTCCTGTTTGCGCCGGATGGTGGTACTGATGGGTTCGTAGGACACCTTTGAAAGATTCGAAGCCATGAAACGCTCTTCCATTTGCTCCTTTAGAATGTCCATTTCTCCACCCTCACCTAGAACACGCTTTGTGAATGCAAACAGGATGTCTAGGCAGTGAATGCGGTCACCACTCACCATGGGTAAGTCCATAGAGATCAGGTCAAACTTGTTAGGCTTGGCTATGCGCAATGGTGGTTCCAGATTATCTGCAAATTCTGAAAGCATTTTATACTCAATGAACTGTGTTGCATGAGGATCAAACCTTTCCCAGACCTCATAAAACGTTTCAAAATCATCCTCACTCAGTGGGTCAGCGCTCTCTTCAGTAGCTACACCAAAGTTTTCCAGGATGACTGCAATGTACATATTCACCACAATAAGGAAAGAGATGATGATGTAGCTCACAAAGAAAGTAATTCCCAGTGTAGGATTTCCACAGTTTCCTTTAAAATTACTACCAGGATTCTCCATCTTAGGGTTACAGTCATCTTCATTTTTGTTGAGAATGGGATATAGTAGGGTATCCCATCCAGCTGAGGTGGTGATTTGGAACAGACAGATCATGCTGTTTGCAAAAGTCTCAAAATTGAAAAGATCATCAATACCTCTTTCCTTCTTGACATATGCAAAGTTTGACATGCCAATGATGGCATAGATGAACATCACCAAGAAGAGCAAGAGACCAATGTTGAACAAGGCAGGAAGTGACATCATCAAGGCAAACAAGAGTGTGCGGATTCTTTTGGCTTTTTTAACAAGGCGGAGGACGCGGCCAATCCGTGCCAGTCGGATGACTCTGAACAAGGTTGGTGAAAGAAAGTATTTTTCTATTATCTCAGTAAGAAACAAACCTAAAGAAAGAAATGAAATGATTAAACACTGGATGACAGATTACTGCAATATTAAAAATTTGTCAGAGAGAAACTGTAAATGGAGGTGAGTCATACCGATGATTGACAGAATAACAACGATGAAATCAAATATATTCCAGCCATTCATGAAAAAGTAGTGCCGGAGCGAGACCATCTTCAATAAGCACTCTCCAGTGAAGATGACAATGAATACCACATTTATATAGTAGAGGACGTTTTTCTTGTAGTCTGATTGTTCATCAGTTTCCACCATCATAGCAATCATATTAAGTGATATTAGAACCATAATCACAATGTCAAAAGATTTCTTGGTTGTAAAATCAAAAATATATCCTAGAATCTTGTTCTGAAACAGATAGACATGGGTAAAATAAACAAGAATATATTTTAGAAGAAAAACAATAAAATTTTAAATTCATATTGAATCCAGTCAAAGTTTGACTCGCATACTGATGGTCTAGGGATCGGTTTTTGTGGTTTCTTTGATGCCAGTTTCTTCATGGCATTGTAGTATTTCTTTTGTTCTTCAGTCATAAAGATGTCTTGACCTCCTAAGTAAAGAAAACATGATAGGCACATTAAATCACTTAAATCAAAAAAGAGAAAATACCAATTCTTCTTTTTACAAAGAGGTTTGATACTTATCTTTTTCCTTTGCTGATTGAAGTTGTCAATAACAACACCAGTGAAAAGATTGAGTGTGAAAAATGCTCCAAATATGATGAAAACAACAAAATAACAGTACATATATAGGTTGATCTCATAGTCTGGTTGTTCTTCTGGCTACAATGATAACAAAAAAACAAGACATTAAAAAAGAGACGTCCTTTAGATTACTGTTCTGGCCAAGCGGATGTGTGCCCTAAGTGATTTAATTTTACAGAAATCTCTGCCTTGGTGGTATTTGTTTACTTAGCACTGTGTGTACAGTGCATAAAATATTCTGTCTTCCTAGTCCCTGTCAGTATCTGTCAAAAACTTGAGCTGCAGCATTTTGAATCAACTAAAGGCTTCTCAGGGAGTCTTTAGAACATCCTAATGATAATAAATTACAGTGGTACATCCTAGAGGTAATGACTGCATAATGTGGATGTTTCTAATTTTTAGAGATATTGCGTAAATGAAAGAAAGCAGTCCTACATATTTGTTTAATATGTGCATTACCTGGCCAAAAATGACTTCAAGATTCCTCACAATGTTATTGGAAGCCACCGTAATGCCATCCAGAGTTAACATTTGGTTAGACACCATATTTCTAAGATTATTAGGGCCGTAGAATAACCTGTTTTATCTGAATTTAGAAGTAGGAAATTACAGTAGAGGTCATCCAGATCTTTAAGATAAAGCTAACTCTTGCTCATGTTAGACCAACCCTTCACTTCAAAAAATATATTTTACATTGTTACAAATTTTTCATCAGAAATGTATCACTGCCTCAGCAAAAGAAAGTGTAATATGATTTTAATAAAACATTGACATTTTACAGGGGTTAAAGCATTTATATGGTGAGATATAAAAATAACCACCTTGGTTTGAGAATCAACAGCGGCATACATGATGTCCATCCAACCCTTAAATGTAGCCTATAGAAAAAAATACAGCAAGTGACAACGGTAGAAAAACATGTTCTTCTATTACAAAATTTGCAACAAAATACTTACTACTTGCAACAGTGCAAGGTAACCCATGCCAACATTATCAAAGTTGACCTTAAGATTCATCACTCGAGCGCTTCCATTTTCCATTAGCCGACAGTCTGTCATATTTTTCACTTCTGATACCAGGAAATTTTTATTTGTGGTTGTGTTGACACAATAGTAGAACTTTCCCGCAAATAAGTTGACTCCAATGATACTGAAGATCAGCCAGAAGATGAGGCATACCAGCAGCACATTGAAGATGGAGGGAATGGCTGCCATTAGGGAATTGACAACCACCTGCACATCAATACACAAATCACATAACATATCTGTACAGCAGACAGAGATCACAGAATTCTAAACTGATGCATGATATTGTACACTGTGGTAATGGTTAAAAATAAATTAATAAATAAAAAAGGAAGAAAAAACACATTTTTAAGTGCCATTGCGTTGGGCTGCAACTAAAGTTTATTTTGGTAGTTGACAAATCTGCCAATTTTTCTTAGATTGGTCGAATAGTTAATGATTACTTTAATAACTCCTGTCTCCACTTTCTGTGAGTTAACCTCGTGTTGTAGGCTCCAGTACCTCACCTGCTCACGTCTGACAACCTGTGAATATTACCCTGCTGTCTTGTCCATTTATGTGGTATTGGTATATGACAAGTCAACAATAAAATTCCATGTAGATGAATTTTATTGTCGACATCATTGATGACGTGGGGCTGCACGGCATCAATGGGTTAGTGCGGTTAGCTAGTTAATGCATTGATGCCGTGCAGTCCCATGCACGGGGCAATCCGTGGTAACTCGATAAGGGAGATTTGTGATTACTCATCTTCATATGATAAGAACCACAAAGTGCTTCACAATAATATAAAACACATGTACATAAAACAACACAATCGAGTCTGCAGCACAACTCTAGTAGAAAGCCAGTCTGAGGTTTTGAGCTTTTAGCTGCTGTTTGAAAGAATAAATAAAATCAAGGCAACTTTAAGATGGAGGCAAAGCAATCCACAACCTGGGGGCTGGTGTTCTAAAAGATCAATCTCCTCTGGTCTTAAAACTACTAACAGCCTTTGATGATCTCAGGCTGCAAGGGAGAGCATGGAGTTCTATAAGATCCAAGATGTAGGCAGGATTGACTGAGAGCTTTAAAAGTCAGTACTAAAATTTTGAGGTGAATTCTAAAATATACTGGAAGCCAGTGTAATGGGAATAAAACCGGTGTAATGTGCTCTCTATTTTTGTGTCTTTGTTAAGAGCTTTGCAGCGGAATTCTGGACTGATTGGAGACGGTTAGGATTCTTTTTGCTCAAACAAAGACAAAAGGCTGTTACAATAATCTAAGTGAGATGAAATAAAAGCATGAACCAGTATTTCCAATTCAGATTTAGACATCAATGTAGTCCTTGTAATCCTTAGTTGAAAAAGGCAGTTACTAATTAGCTGCTTGAGAGTGTTGCTCTAGCAACATCGCAGAATCAAAAATAACATCGAGGTACCTGAGGCTTGGCTGAACAGAGGAGCCAAGAGAACCAAGATGCTGCTTGATTACAGATATTTGGCTGTCGGGAGCAATAATTACCGTTTCTGACTTATCTGAGTGCAGCCGCAAGTAGTTGTCACAAAGCCATTGTTCAATGGAAGCTAAACATTTTATTAAAGAGAACAACTTTTGGACTTCCATTGGCTTAAAAGAGCAGCAGAGCTGAATGTCATCAGTCTAGAAGTGATAAGACACATCAGGGAACTGCCTAATTATAAGTCCTAGAGGTAACATGCACAGGAGCAAAAGAATAGGTCCCAGAACTCAACCCTGCGGTACTCCACACGTCAGATGTGACATAAACTGATTTGCACAAAAGTTAAAAGATCTATTGGAGAGGTATGACTGAAACCACTCCAGAGCCACAATTTTAGCTTAGAGATAAGCCTGTAATTCTTAAGCTGTGTTAGATTTGAACTGCTGTTTTTTAATATTGGCTCAACAACAGCATACTTACAGAATCTAGGCACCACACCTGTTAAAAGAGAGGTGTTGCATATCTCTACAACAGAGGGGCCAATGGCAGAGAGAACATTTTGAAAACAGTCCAGCAGGTAGAATGTCATATGGACAAGTGGTGATTTTCATTTTATCCAGCAGAAGTGAAAGATCATGTATGGTCATTGGGTTAAACACCGACAGTGAATGAGGGGGAGGTGGACCAGAGACACAAACAGATGGTATTGAAGGACAAACGCTCATTTGGACATTATTAACTTTATCCACAAACAAATTTAGAAAGTCATTACTGTCAGATACAGAAGACATGGCTACTGGGGGGACCATGGGGGAAACAACAGAGTTTATGGTTTCGAACAGTATCTTGGGATTTCTCTTGTTTGATGAGATTAGCTGAGAAAAAATTCAGAAATTGATGACCTTACAGCCATTGCTAGGATTCATAAGAGAAAAAAATAGAGATAATGTTTTGAAAAAGAGAAAATATCCAGTGAGCCGAAGTTCTCTGGATAATGATGCCTTTTTGATGCTAAAGGTCAGAGAATGACCAGACTGCTTAGTTTACAGGTTAGCAATAGTAACTCAAATGACCAGTTTTTGTAAACAAGGTGAACAGAAGAGCATATTTTAACACACAACAAATCCAACCTTGAAGCAGATGGGCTATAGAAGCTGAAGATTATATCAGATGCCACTACTTCAGTTAAACAAAGAAAACTGAGCAAGAATTCAAATTGGTTTACCAAAATTGGACTAAAGAAGACTGGATAAAGCTGCTGCGTTGAGTCTTGATTTTTGTTGTGACATTTGGATGATAGGACAAGAAGTTGAAAGCCTAGATTCATTCTTCCTTATACCAGTAGTTCAGTCTGGTGGTCGTAGTGCAAGGGTGTGGGGGATATTTTGTCGACAGACTTTAGGCTTCTCAGTACTGATTAATCGATCCATCCAATTAAGTATTGCCTAAATGCCGCAGCACACTTGAGTATTATAAGCAGCCATGACCATTCCTTTATGGTCTTGTGGCTGCTTCCAACAAGATAATGTCCCACAAACCTCAAATAATCTCAGACTGATCTACACAGTCACCATATCTAAATCCAACAGAGCAAGTTTTGGATGTGTTTGAACCATAGATTTGTATTCTGGATACGCAGCTAATAAATCTGCAGCAACCGTGTGATTTTATCGTGTCAGTATGGACCCAAAGTCTCAGAGGAATGTTTCCAGCACCTTGTTTAATCTATGACAAAGTGAATAAAGGCAGTTCTGAAGGCTAAAGAAGGCCCACCCAGAACTAGCAAAGTGTACCTATGAGATTTAGGTTGTAGTTTAGTGTACTGGATTAGTGGTAGATAGTTCAACGTGACTCTGAATGGATAGGTGGTTCCAACAGCTCTTACCCTTATGCCCTCAAAGCGTGACAGGGCTCTTAGTGGCCTTAGAGCTCGTAGGGTTCTCAAAGACTTCATGGGACCGAAATTATTAGCATCTAATGTGTTGGCTACTAGATCGGCAAGTGAGATCTGGAAAAAATACAATTACAAATACGTTATAAGCGGCAAAGATATATTAAACTGTGTGTTTCTGTCTTAGCAGCATTTCGATGTACATTAGCAATTAGGAAGTCCAACCAGCACCAGGCATTTGAGAAATATTTAGCAAATCCATATGCCATCCACTTCAGTAACATCTCCAGAATAAAAATGCAAGTGAAAATTTTGTCTGCAAACTCCAAAACTGTTTTAATAGTCTTCCTCTGCTCATTGTAGATATCTTCAAATGCCTAAATGTGAGGAAAAAGACAGGTAAGTGTAAATACAAATGGAAAGTGTATTAATGCCAAACATGCACATAATGAAATTTCCATTAAAAATATCAATAGTACTTTGCAGACAATATCTTAGGATTTGTTCCAAAACAGACGTGAGAACAGATCACTGAAAGAGACTGATTTAGTAATATTAAATGAAAAACGTTTTAAAAATGAACAGTTAAGAACTGCCTGATTAGATGCCAGATGTTTTTATGTAAATACTTACAAGGGCCCCACTGCTAAGCAGGATCATGAAGATGATAAAGCTCTCAAACCAGTTGTGCTCCACTATCTGATAACAGGTTTTTCGTAGTGCCCACCATATTTTACCCCAGCCCACATCTACATTTACTTGACAGCAATGGAACGCCTGCACACAGACTGAAAAGAGACAATGGTTAGGATGGTTAGAAATGGTTAGAATGGTGTTTTAGACATGGAAAATGCACATTCAAATTAAAACTAAAGTTATAGCAGGTGTTAGTTTCACCAGCAGAGAAACAAGCATTAGGATCTATATCATCTTCTAATTCAAAGTCTGCAGAATTTCCTCTCTTTCCAGCTGGTACATCATCCACTGTGCTTGCATCTGAGCAGCTGAACTGTCCATCATCAATGATAATCTGTGGATGAAATCAATAGTGTAGATGAAAATCTTGGATGAGCTGATATAACAAAGCCATTGAGTAAGACTAGTTTCACAAAATGACAGATTGTTCTGTCATTTTTGTAGTAATTTTAAATAGTTGTACAAAAAACACCTGAGGAACTGGCTGCATTTTTAGGTAATTATTTGTATATGACTTTGCTATTTTCACAATTTGTGAATAAGTGTTTAAAATTTACAATTTATATTTGCATTTCAAATTATGAAAGTGGTTTGATAAACATGTTAGTGGTTTTTACAGTAAGAAAATTTTTTTTCCTAATTGGATTTTGTGTTTTTTGGTTGATTTTGAATCAAGTGTGTACGATACATGTCATTGCCATGACTAGATTTTAGGCTGATCCCTTCACCTTTACTAATGAAATACCTAACTTACGCCAACAACAGTGTTCTCTTACACTATGTGGTTGCATTGCATGTCATAAATAACTTTTGTAAGGCTTGGTTTAAAACAAAAATCAGGCATCTGTAGAGATTTTTGAGACCAAGAACATCCTTACCGCAGGACATCCTGCTACATCTGATGAAGCACTGTTGAAGTCCTCAGTATCGGGTTCTTTCATAACCATAGAGATGGTGACAGTCACACTAGGGTTGTTGATGAAAGATGTTAGGGAATCATTGCTTTTGGTGCTGACCATGTATTTGTCCCCAGTTTTTTCTACGCCGATCACCTCCCCATTGCCATGGTTTAGGATACTGTTCGGCCCTAAAGGTTTGTGGAGTTCATCCAGAGATTTTTCCTCATCCTTCTTTTGTTTCTTCTCTCTAAGGCAGGCGCTGCTGCAGCTAGTGCTGAAGGAAATGCTTTCGTATATACGTGTAATGGCAATTTGCAAATTGTTTGTCTCTTTGTCATCCATTGCCCATGCTAGATTGTCAGTACTGAATGAACTCAGCAGCAGGGCCAAGAAGAGGTTCAGGACCTGCCAGGTAATGACATGGACAGGTAAAATTTATATTGAAACTATTATAAACTGATTACAACAAAACACATATTACTGTAAAACTGCACTATGTACAATTACTTAAATAAGAATTACATTTTTAATCAGTTTAATGAGTTTAAATTAATGAATTGACCATTGAAAGTTTTACCACAAGGTTTCCTATAATCAGGATCATCATGTAGAAAGTGATGCACATGTGTTCATTAACCACTGTCATACAGTCCCACATGGTTTCTATCCACTCTCCACAAAGCACTCGGAAAACAATGAGGAATGAATGGAAGAAGTCATTCATGTGCCAACGAGGAAGTGTGCAGTCCTCAGAAATTTTACACACACAGTCCTTGTATTTTTTTCCAAATAGCTGCATGCCCACCACAGCAAAGATGAAGACGATAATGGCCAAGACCAGTGTCAAGTTGCCCAAAGCCCCCACTGAATTACCAATTATTTTGATCAATTTATTTAGAGTGGGCCAGGATTTAGCCAACTTGAATACTCTAAGCTGTAAACAAAAACAAAAAAAGTCATTACTTAACTCACAAAACACCAAAACATACAGGCCATGATGTATAGTGGCAAGAAGAAGCAGGTGAGTCCTTTGGAACTATGTTTAAAAAGTTGGGAAACAACCTTTACCCCCAACAATTGCAGTTTCATGGTCCCTCTGTCCTTACGTTTTCATCTGTCTCTCCCTCTTATGCTTTCTACCTCTCCTCTATCCCTGTTTGTGTGTGTATTTGTGTCTTGGTTTTTGTGTAGTGGAGGGACTCAGCTCAGGTTCCTGCCTTCTGGACATCCGCTGGTAAGCTGTCTTTGATGAACTCGATGGAGTCACTACTTAAGGGAGTGGCTCAGTGGCAGAATCAGAGAAACTGTATTCATCCCACAGCGAAATTGAGTTGTGATAAACAATTAACATAGCTTGGCTCCTACCTTTGTGATTGTGCTACTTGCCTTTATATGGAAAAGCTTTTCTATCATTTCTGCAGAATCTGTGTGCAGATTCTGTTACAGAGAAGCTTGCTGGAAATAGGTGACCTGTTTAGTGTTCTTGAGAAGCTTTGTATCTGTGTGTATTCCTGGGTCATATTATTTTTTAAACTTTACCAGTGCATTCAACACCATCAGGCCACTCTTTCTGGGTGGACTCTCTAAAGGTGGTGTTACTGAGGTAAATGTTGTCCAAGATAAAGGAAATACTGGATAATACCTCCCGCCCTCTCCATGTCCTGCTTGCCACTCACAGGAGCACGTTCAGTAATGCTGGGCATTCACTGTGTGATTTTTGGCCCATTTTGAGCCAATTTTTCAGTCGTGCGACTGTTTTGGTGATCGGCCCGAGTTTCGGCTTCATCGTGTGTCGTGCATCGTGTAGTATACATGGTGTAACGAGAAGCGATTAACACCCCACGACCAGATCCCGATCATCAATCGTTTGGTCATAAGAAAATCAAACTTGTTTGAAATCCTATCAGCTGTCTTGAGGTGGTCAACGCAGCCTCTCACACTGCACACGTGCCAACACAGAAATGAAAGTGAAAAGACGGAGCAGCACGGCAGTGCAGCGTGTGATCTGGACACAAGCAATGAAAGCACAACTTGTAGAACTTTGGCAAGCTCATCTAAGCCATTTTGATTTGGCCTGACAAAATTAGTTGGATGAGTGAAAGACAGTTAGGGAGAGAGAGAGAGCGAGTGACAGATTTTGTGTTATAACCTTCATGTTAGGGACGCACAGTGTGAGCACTCAGGTCGCATCAGAGCATTGGGCCGTATAGTGTGAGACCCTGCATCGTGACCTACGAACTTTTAACCCTGCGAGTCAATCGTACAGTTTGAGCAGGAGCTGAATAATGTGACTGAAAAAAATCGTACAGTGTATGCCTAGCTTGAGAGATTTAGCTTGCCCAAATGCACCACAGAATGCCATAGCCACAGGCAGAAATAATTTTAATCAAGTACACACTGCAATAGGTGAACACCCTCAATATCACATCCTCAACAAAGAAAAATTACAAAGTCAATATGATTAGAAGGGCACCTCAATCTCAACTATATATATTTAATTTTAGGCAATATACTGGGATATTTATAATTAGAGGTATTTGTATTAAAATCTATTTTGTTATATTTTGCAACTTTGTAATACATTGTATTATTTAATTTTGTTTGGTTACTTCTCTTAGTGTCTTGGATCAGTTGTGACCACATAATTTTCTTTGGGATTAGTAGAGTATTCTCGTTCTGAATTTGATCGCCATGAGATTACAAATTCATTACACCCAGTTGCAATAATTTTGTTCATGTCTTCAACGACTATTTTCCGTAGTCTAACTGTAGCATTAGGTAACATGACCAAAGCCAACTACATAATTGACATGTTGCTGAGTGGATGAAAACCAATCAAAAACTGTCACAGGATCCAGGGAGGCTGGCCAGGTGCTCCCAGTTGTGCTGATTTATGAAAAATTTATACATAGATGCTAACAATTCCAAAGGTTTCACTTACTACTGCTTGTTATCGTAGATGTGCATTTATAGACTTACCAATCGGAATGATCTCAAGATAGACATATTCTTCATTTTTTCCAAACAAAGCTCTATCAAGCTTAAACTAACAATGATCGCATCAAAGATATTCCATTTCTTCTGAAAGTAATAGAATGGGTCCAGTGCAATAACCTTGAAGACCATTTCAGCTGTGAAGATGCCGGTGAATATCTTTAT